GGGGGGGGGGGGGGGGGGGGCTTTGAGACAAAATGCTCTAATTTAGATTTGCCACTGGCTAAGCTGCTTCGACAGTAACCATGGCGATGGCAGCATATGGGCTCTCCAGTCATTTGAGCAGCCATATGGGGTGAGGAGATTGAGGCTCGCTCCATATTACGCCCTTCCTCATGTTTTTGCTCATCAAATACTCTTTAGCCTCCCTCAACAATCTGACTGCCCTGTCCTCTGCGTCTCTTTAAATCTGATAGGATAGAAGGGCATTAATAATGAGGTAGAGGGGCAGATGGCATCACCAAGGCTCAGGCAGCAACAGGGGGGGGCGCAAGAGTCAAAGTGTAAAGCCTCAACGGGGAGTAGGTTTGGAGAGAAAAAAAGCACAGAACGTTAAGTGGTGACTGTATCTAGGGCTAATGCTGCACCGTCAGGTGGACAATATTGACACATCTTTGTCAAAACCCTCAGAGAACAGCCTTTAATAAGCTGCTTTTTCCATAACTGTTAGCTGTGAAGGCCATGTTTATCCAAACAGGCCAGGCACCAAAACGTTTTGACCTGGCAGTTATTAAAAAAATTAAAATAGATATAGACAGACAGTTATTAACTTGGAGAAATTATAATTTAGCATTAAAAGTTAGACCAGAAGTTTGACATTTGCTAAAATTGACCTTTGGTCCTCACAATACAATGCTACACTGTGGTCCCAAAAACATGTTAAATGTCAGAACAAATTAAGCCGGGGACCCAAACTCCCGCCCCGGGGGCCACTTCCGGACCCCAAACTCTACCACATCTAGCCCACAACCATGTCAATAATAATTAAATTTTGCCCTTGAGGGGTTTTTTTTTTATTTTCAATTATTATAATAATTTAGTTTGTCATTTAAAACTGAGAAACCAAGAGTTGAGTTCTAGCCGTTTGTACTGACATTGTCGAGATCAGTGGTCCTCACTGGGGTTCGTGACGTTATAGCAAGCAGGGGGCAGCAAACCAATTTGAAATTTGAATTAATATCTGTATCTCATTGTATTTCTCTGTTCAATGACAATAACGTTGTTTTTTTGTTTTTTTAAAATACACTATAGTCGAGTTTTGACGCAATAGCTATGGGCGAGCAGGTGGTCGTTTTCATAAAAAAAAAAGGTGGCGCTGTTATAAAAATCCTGAGATAACTGTTCTTCCTACAAAACAAACCTTTGTCGAAGCCGACGTGTGTGAGTTTCAGCCTACTGACCTTATAAACATCCAGGATGCCACACTGGTAGTCGAAGCGTGTGTAAAGCTCATTCAGCATGGAGATGACCTGCATGGGCGTGCACTGCGCGCACACGGCGGTGAATCCCACAATGTCCGAGAACAACATGGTGACGTCGTCGAACTTGCGAGCAGGCACCGGCTGACCCTGCCACAGCTTCTGTGCCACGTCACCTGGAAATATGGAATAGAGGAGATCCACTGTTCTCCTCTTCTCCTCCTCCAGTGCCTGGTGGGTTCGTTCTAACGTGGCCTGAGGAGACATGAGGGTTTAGACGTGTTAGTGCAGTGGTTCTCAAATATTTTCTGTCGTGCGCCCCCTTGGGGACAGAAATGTTTTCATGCATGCCCCCCCGCCCCCAGGACTCTCAACCCACATCCCCGCCAGTTGAAATACTATTGAGAACCTGATAATTTATTTATATTTTTTATCTGTACAAACCACTGTATGAGTTACTGCCCCCTAGTGACTGGAGGATTGTTATCATTCAAGCATTACAGCAGTGGTACACTTATGTTCAGCGTGCCATATTCCATTGGAAGCCCCTCACGCACCCCACCCCCCCCGACAAGGCACTGCGCCCCCCCAGGGGACCCCGCACCACTATTTGAGAAGTACTGTTTTAGTGACTGATGTAACGATCGTCAACAGGACCAAGGCCTCAGCTTCATATAGGGTAACCCTGTAATATATATTGCACAACCGGTGATATGCCATTGTTCAGGCGGGCATGTCGACTACAAGATGTGTCTATTTATAACCACGGCCTGTAGGAGTAGCTGCAGTGAACAAGTGATGTGCGCACACGCAGGATTAGGGCAAGACTTAGTGACTTGCTCTGGGGTACTTTAAAAGCCAATTACAAGAGCAAATCCCAGGAGCCAAAAATGGGATTTAAAGTAGCTTTCATGGTATAAAAAGAAATGTATTTCTTTGTTTCTTCGGTTTAATTTAAAAAAAAAAAAAGATATAAATAATTGGAAAGACAAGTGATTAAAGCAAGAGCAGAGAAATAAATGAAAAGGCAAGGCTGGTGTAAACAGCAGCTGCGTCTGAAGCAGAACTCATGCACTTCTCCCCCAAAACAGGTGACTGGGGAGGTAACCGGAGATTTAACTGAGTACCACATCCGATGCATTAGGTTTGACATCCCTGTGAAATCTCCGACAGGTGCTCAGAGGGTAGCGTTTCAAACCAAGGTTGTGGATGAAAAGGTTACCGTGTTGGATGAACTTTAGGTTCCACTGTGATTCCTAAAGAGGCATTTTAATTCTCAAAGTGATATATATTTTGCAATTATGATTGTCTAGTACAGTGATCATGAAGTGGTGGCCCAGGGGCTTAATCTGGCCCACGTAACCGTCCAATCGGGCCCTGGTCTGAAAACAAATTCTGGCCCGCAGACAATTATATAGTGACCCGTGCTCTAGGAGTTTGTTAGCTGTGTGTGCTGGCAGAGTTAGGGCTAGAACAGGCATAGGCAAACTAAGGCCCGGGGGCCGGATGTAGCCCATTCAGTTTTGTAATCCGGCCCGCCAAACTTGTCCAAATTATATAATTGGTTTGTATTGTAATTATTCTTCTGCCTTTTCCCTGCAATGCCCTTGTTTTCCCTATAGATGGCGTAAAGAAGGCAAAAAGCATTTTAGCCTTTATGCATGACTTTTACATGTCATTTATCTTATTTATCTTATCTTTGACTTTTACATGTCATTTATCTTTTTTATCATTTATCTTATTTATCTTATTTACCCGGACCCCGTGTCAATTTGTGCTATCTGCTCCTGACCCGGACCCCGTGTCAATTTGTTTACCAAATGCGGCCCGCGAGTCAAAAAGTTTTCCCACAACTGGGGTAGAAGATGAGAAAGACAGTGTTTTGATCACATCGACTGTGAAACACAACAATGACTGGGGAGGTTTTAGGGGTGATATGTTAAAGATTGGTAAAAAAAAAAGTGCAAAAATTTCACCACCACTGTTTAGCCACTGATGCTTTCTGGCCACCTGAATGGGTGAGAGCAAAACAATTATAAAATCGTGCCAGATTATAATCAAAGTGAGAAGAGAAATCAGCATTTACTAGAACCTTCACTGAACAAATGAAGAGTCAGCTCAAAGTGAGAAGAGAAATCAGCATTTAGTAGAACCTTCACTGAACAAATGAGGTGGTAGATTGGTTAGTTTGTCCCTCGGTTTGATTCCCGGTGGAACATATTTGTCATTACGTATGAAGTTTGCATGCTCTCCTCATCACTTTTCCTTGGGGTTTCCTCAAAAATTCCAAAGACATGGAGGTGAATTATTCCTTCTGTATGAACGGTGGTTTGTCTCTGTGATGGACTCCTGGACTGTCGAGTCCCTGACACGGTGACACTGAATCGACTTGGGTGGTCAAAGATCAACGAAGGAGTGAATGCTGTAGCTTTCACTGATTGGCTATTAGACATTCAGAACGGCATGTTTCAGATGTGGCTAGGCCGCGGTACTGCAGTGAGTGGCAGGTTCACGTGGAATGAATGAAACCACAAGTGTACAGGTGAAATCCAGCAGATGGGAGAGTTAACGATGGACGTGTCAGACAGGGAGAGCTGGTGAGAAGTCCAACTCTTTATGATGCAATAGTAGGTAATGGTAGCAGAGGAGTGACAGAGGAGCGGGGCGGTGTGAAGAGTTAGTCTCCTGAACAGCTGTTCAACAACAGTTCATTTAAAGTGTCCCATTAACCCTAATCCCTGATTTGTCGGCTATTTAACTAAGGTATTAAAGCGTACCATAAAGCAAAGTGTTTTCCCGTGCTACGAAGTCCAACAACGCACGCCTCAAACTGCCAACAGATTTTTAGGTGAATAAATCCTCCTACCTTGAGTTTGTCCATCCGCTTCTTCAGGCCGTCCTGGGCTTTGGCTTGTTCTCCCACAAGAATGACGTCTCTCGTGGCGTCGTGGATAGGGATGTCTGAGAGATGCAGTCCTCTGCCCATCAGCTCCTCCAATTTATCCACACGTGGTGATCCAAGAAACATTAGGGAGCAAGACTCTGGCACATGGATCATCTGACCCTTCAGTTCCATGACCTGACAGAGGGACAGAACAGACGTTGAGTTGAACAGAAATATTTTTGTTAAGACAGTTCACAGCTCATTTATTCTTCTCCAACATTCCACCACAACAAAACCGGATAATACCGCTGCAGTATCGTATGCATTTTGAACCAATCAATACATGTGATTTGCCTTTGAGCATTATTCCAAAAAATGAAAAAAAACGTCAGTAGAGTCAGCAGAGTGCCGCGGTGGAAGCGCGCTGGGCTCGTAACCCAGAGGTCGATGGATTGGAACCATCCTCTGCTAGACTTATTGGCGATTTCCCTGTGGGATCAACAATAGGCTTTGGACTAGATTAACAATAGTTTAATCTAATCTAATGCGTTGGCCAATCACATCATGTTTATGCAAATATTCAGCCAAAAACACAAGCAAAACATATACTGTATTAATTAGTTTTTTTAAAAAAAAGGCCATGGCTGAAACAGAACAGGAGAGATTCATTAATACAGCAAATAATCCATGACACAATCTGTAGATTAATTCATTTGATTAACCTGGCTTATTTAGATCTTTATAATTACTAATCGTTATGAATATTTTTTTTTCTATGATAACATGAAACTCATCTTGTGTTTAGCTTCTTTTTAGCTGATTTTATCCTGTGAATGTTTGGTTTGTCAATCAAACATTTTTTATTTATATTTGACTTCAACAGTGTCATTTATCGGTCAACATTCAGGACATTTTCTTACTATAATTTATTTAATACCTGACATTATTATATTAATTATTATTATATTATTTATTTTTTAACACATTTTAACTCTTGATTAATTGGCTTAATACCCCATGGTGCTGTAAATATTTGTAATTATGTATATTTATATATTATTCTATATCGTTCTTGGTGTTTTTTTAAGTTATTTGTTATTATATTTGAGTTGATACAGGACACATTCCAACAAACCTTTCCAGCTCTATTATACATTACGAAAGTAATATAGAAATCTATTGAAAAATCAATAGAAAAAGTAAACATTCAAAAACAGTATCCATTTCTTCAGTAAATCATGACTAAAATATAAAACCGCCTGATATTTCTCAGGACCCTCCGAACATATCTATAAAAATATCTTCTGTGAAACAGAACTGCTGGAACCAATCATCTCTCTGCGGCTTATCTCTTTTTTAAAAATTCTCTTCAGATTTTTAAATTCAAGTCTGCTTCTTTCCTTTGCTTTGTTTTTTTTTTTTCACTTTTTCCTCTTCCCTTCATTGCGACTCATCATACATCCACGCTTGTCTTCCATCCTCGGCGAGCTCGCCCTCTCTCTGTCTCCCTCTATTCCTTTTCCATAGTGTCAGATAGATTATTCCGCCAGTGAGCACACTGCGGCTGTGTTTTATTTATAGCACCCGGCTCTCCTCGGTCTGCATAATGCATATAGTCTACACACAGGAGTCTCCACCAACACATACACAATAAGTACGAAACATAAAAAAGGTTGGATATGAGCTGTTTAAAAAAAAAACACAAACACCCACAAAAAAAAAGGTATTTCTTTAATTATAATGTGGTTACATGGACAGATCATAAACGACCTCAGAAACCACTGGTACGCACATCCTCGGGGGTTATTTTTCCAGAGATAAATCTGGCTTTAGTGTGTATTTTCCAGTGTAAATATAACAAACACCTTCGGCCCAATGGTTGTTGACAATTTCAAAAATCACAACCAATCATTTTACATCTCGCCGTGGTGTTGTTAGGGTTTTGGGGTTTTTTTTTAGCTCTACGGTATAAAAAAAACTGTCAATTGTATCATGTTGTTGTGACTTTGTGTGACAGTTGCAGAATAGACAGCCATAATGAGACTCTGTGTCTGTCACTTGCACTGCCACATTTCCTTCCTTATCTTCTTTCCCTCTCTCACACACTCTCTCTCGCTTTCTCTCATTCTCTTTCACTCTCTCCCGTCTTTTTTCACCACATCCCCAGAGACAGTGGTCTTTGTCCTAGATGTTTCTCTCTGTTTAACTCAAAACTCTCCTTCTCTACTACCTGCCAGTCCGTCATCAGCACATTAAGGAAAAAAAGAAAAAAAAACAAAACAAAAAAGAAGTACATAAAAGCAAGAAAAAGAAGCGGCAAAGTACAGCAGGGCACTGTGTTAGAGAAAAAAGCTCTGGTACAAAGAGATAACGGAATATTCCCAAAGAAATACCCTATTTTACGGACAATAAGTCACTTCGGAGTATAGGTCGCACCAGCTAAAGAATGAAACAAAGCGCGACTTAAAGGAGAAGCAGATACTGGTACAGAAGCCTAGAGTGCCCACTAGTGGCTGTCAGTGTGAAAATAACAAACATGTGAAATTATATATTTTATTATATAAGTCGCACCTGAGTCTCAAACCCAGGCAAAGGATGAAAAAAAGTGTGACTTATAGTCCAGAAAATACAGTAAAAAAGAATAGTTGATTTATACAAATAATATTTTCTAAAATATATTAATGCTTAACAAAACAACAGATCTGGACTGCAGAGAGGCTGGTTAGATTATTTTAGACTCCTGAGAGCGCCCCCTAGTCTATATAGGATGGGTTAACTGCAGAAGATACCGTACATACCAGGGGTTACAACTATATTTTTTCAGAGGGCCAGAATTTTTCTGTACAGACAACTTGGGGGCTGTAAAACAAAATAAAAGTTGTGATTTTGATTAATTTTTTTTTAATTTTATTTTAGTATAAAACTGATGACATTTTTAGCCTTTAATAGAGGGGACGACCCAATATTAATCTTCAGTAGGCCGGCAGTTGCTAATCGCTGATATATACTGTATGTATGCGTATATAAACATATATATTGATCTGTTTACATACTGTTTCCCATAAAGAAATTTAAAGAATTTAAATCCAAATCCAAAGAAAACAGGAAACCGTATTTTAAAGTCAGACCATCCTTTTGTTCAATCAGAATAATATTTCTATATGAGAAGAGTTATCAGTGCTAAATTGTAAGTACAGTGACTTCAGAGCTGTGAGTGTGCCAACGTGGGGGAGGTGGCCTTGACTTGAAGACCTGAAAAAAAAAAGTTTGAGAAGTGACAGAAAGAAAACTGTGCGATGTGACTTTGAGAATTTTAAAATTTGACTCCTCGTACTTGTGTGTCTTTGCTTATGAACGCTCTGGGGTGTGTGTGTGTTTTGCATGTAAATATTTTTATAACCACAAAAGAACAAACGCCCTCAGAGGCCACCCTGCATGTTACAGATTATCTGGATATCCTTAGAATCAGGTTATTACCGCCGCAGGCAACAGGGAGTTGGAGGTTGATTAAAGGGGGAGAGGAGGAAAAAAAACAGCTGAGGGTGCCACAGATGCAAATAGAGGCTGAAAGAGTGGGGGAGTAAAGGGGTGAGAGAAGGATGAGAGCGAGAGGATGCTGAGGGAGGATGAGAGGGGAAGAGCCAGAGGTGGAACGAACACCTAATGCATTGTGGTCCGGCGGGCGGACTCAGGCATGACAACGGTTTCTCATTTGCATGAACAAGCACCGAGCAACAAAGAGTCAATGAGTCAGCTTCTCTCATCGCGCTGCTGTTCCTCAAACACGTACACACACTCACTCGCAAAATGTTGCCGTGCTCTTATCTTCGGAGACCACGGCTCCCCGATGGTCCATCTCCCCCACTCGGTACAATGTATCCACAACTAGAGGCAGCAGCATCTAACCCACAGCACAGCATGGGCCTTGATTAAATAAAACTCACATATTCACGTTGTGCAGGGACATATGGTGTCTTTACAATTCACTCTTTCAATTCAGCAAAGGTCAAAGACCCTTTGTTGTGCATGTAAATGCGACTAAGTGCAGCTAGTCAGCTGTTGGAGTCACCATCTCCATTGTTAGTCCTATGTCAAACGCAAGGCCCGCGGACCGAATCTGGCCCACCACGTCATTTTATGTGGCCGTCTACAACTGAACATGTGAACGGTGGTGTTAAAATAAAAGTCTATACTAATGTAAACATAAGTATGGCGAGTAGTTTACATTTGTTTACCACACAATGAGCGGGTAGCGTTTGACACCTACGGACTACGACAAACTTCAAGTACCAGCTCCGTGATAGTCACGAGTCATATTGAAAGAATGCTGGGGAAAATTTGGAAAATCTATGGTCTTAAGGTGAATGTTGGAGTCATTCACCTTAAATCCAGTCAGCAACACAGATCAATACAATCAATCAATACACGCTGACACGTCCCACAGCGCAGCCCAGCTGTGACCCCCCCACTCCTTCCCCTGAAAGTTTATTAGATGAGTCAAAAACGGTTGTTGGCAAGTCAAAAATGGTTTTAAAACAGGTCTCTGAAGAGTTTCCGTCAGCTACGTTTAGCCACATTACGATTCATTTCATCATCTTTCTAGCCGTGGAAAATGAATAACTGTGAAATGCGAACAATCACATTTTAATTGTTGAAGACTTGCAGCATGTTTTGATCTTTTTTTTTCTTTTCCCAAAACTAAAGAAAGATTTTTTGTAAAAATTATATTTTTATTCCTTCCGACCCGATAACGAATGTGGATGAAAATGGATGATGGATAGATATTTTTACTGTCCTTTGACTTTTTGACTCTTCATCCATTTCTAGGAAAATTCATAATTTTTGGACATTCTTATTTGCAGGCTTTTTATTTCATGCCTAAGGTGTTTTAAAGTAAAAACAAAAACAAATTTCATGTGGACAGAAAGAAATTAGAAGACGCAAAAAGGATTTGGATAAGCGTTCTAGGATTGTGGTTGGGAGCCACTATGACTATGACTTCACAGATCATCAGTGTTAGTGATGTAACAGTTTGGCGTCAGTGATGTTTTCCAGGGACAAATATATGTTAAACATATTGATTTTTCCAAAATTGTATTATTGTCTTTCTTTTCTCACTCTGTATTTTAGGGTATCTTAACTCCAAATTTAATGTCCATCCATCCATTTTCGTCCACTTATCCGTTACCGGGTCACGGGGCCAGCGGTCTCCATGACTGCCACCCAAATCACACTGCACCGTACCAACCCCCCTGAACCTTCCTGTGGGTGGTGAGTCCACTGGAAGGTACCAACCGCCCTAACAGGGATTCGATCTTGCCCAGGAGGTGAACCCTGGGGTTCCACACCAATGACAGAGACATTGCGTCTGAGCCAAAGCGCCACCAAATTTAATGTGAAACTTAAAAATACAAAAGATATTCACTGACACGATGAACTGGCTTTACATTTAGTTTCCATTTTGAGATCATTACTTCTACAACAAACAGTGTTTTTCCAGCTGACTTCCACAGATTACTTCTGCAGCCAAAGCCTGCAAAAAGAGAGAGCTCTCCCCAGTTCTTATGTTGAATCTATGCTCCAAGCCATACTACGTCTCCACTTCCAAAGTAATCAGATGTAAAAGAGAAAAATAATTTGGTGGATCAGCCAAGAGGGAGAGAAATACTTAATGATGAGTTCCCTAAGTGTCCCTGATTCTTGACTTCGGTGGCGTCGGTATCTTATAATGAGGCAGTTTTCGCACAATATTTTCACACAAATGAAGAAGGAAAGTGGGGAATTATACAACCAACTCGTGTGTTTCTCTTCTGCCTCTTTATTTCCTACTGCGACTCTTGTTTTTGTTCGTCTTTTTTTTTTTGTTCAGACCCATCCCCCACGCAGTAAACAAACACACCGTCACAGCAGTGACTTATCTGCAAACAGATCAAAGGTGGGGCCAACATCAAGATTCTCTTTGAACCGTGACACCTGCTGTAGCAAAAACACAGACACAGCTCCTTCAGAAAACCTCTCCTGGTACCCACCGATAGGAAAACGCGTCAACTTGATGAAGAACAACTCATAATTGTTTCCAATCCAGACTTTTGTTCTTCGTCATTTCTAATCAACCTGTTTATTCATTGGTCCGACAAAAATGGCACAACAAACACTTTTCACATGACTTGCTGCAGAGTAGTACTCCTTGTACTTCATTCATGGCTAGAGTCCAGTAATGTTCAAATACCATTTATACCCATTGTTGCAGAGTCAGGTGTTTTGAATGACAGCTTTTGAAATTTGGGTTTCCTTTGTGACCCCCCTTTTTTGGGGGGATGGGGGAGGTTGTTTTTTTGGGGGGTGTTTTGTAGAAGTTTTTGCCCAGAGGCAATGTCTCTGTCATTGGTGTGGAACCCCAGGGTTCACCTCAGGGGGTTGGTTCGGTGCAGTGTGATTTGGGTGGAGGTCATGGAGACTGCTACCCTCGCGACCCGGTAACGGATAAGCGGATAAAAATGGATGGATAATACAACCTCATTTTTATAACCTAAACTAAAGCTGACCCCAAAGTATAGGTTTTGCAAAACATATTAATATTTATATCACCATTAAAAATAAAAAGAACAACCATGTGATAATAGACAAAAATATGAAACTAAGTATTTACCACAGAAACTATATGATTTTTAACTACTTTGACAGTGCAGTATTTCATCTCTATGCAATATTTATGCAATATTTCTCGTGCTTTAACCAGTGACTTAAATTGTACTACACATTGTCCTGTTTTTGAATATTTCGTACCTCACGTTATAGTTTTTATTATTATTATTTTAGTGCACAGCAAAAAGCCCTGTTCTGCAGATCAATTTACTCTAACGTTTAAAGAATTTTTTTACTGTTTTTATTTTTTATAAAAAGCAAGGATTGTTGATTTCTTTTACTGTTTTTTCTGCTGTAACATTAATTTCTCCAGTGGTGTTTTTTTTAATCTTATCTCATCTTAATATTTATATTTTAGCAAGTGAGCATTTCAAATTTTTACTGCTATATAAAAAAAAACAAAAGAAAAGGCCAAATGAAGAGCTGGAACTCAACACTAAATAAAGAGACAGTGAGTGAAGAGCCGTTTGACCTTTTCAGATGGTCGGTGGACATCTACACTACAGTTATTGTGCAGTGCTAAAGGCAAGTACGGATGAAGTAAAACAGTAAATCCACAACTGTACTCAAGTACAAACACACACGCACAAGGACACACACATACACAGCGGCACAGCGGTGTGTTCCCTTTACGTTGGCCTGTCGCCTTCTCTCGTTGCCCTTTCTATTGAAAATGTCAGCCTGTCCTCTCTGTTCGTCCCCCTTCTCTGCCCTGGTGACAGAAGATTCCTGTGTTGAAAATAATAACGTTGGTCGGGATCCACAGTTGAGAATGAAATCTACGTGACTTTTGGGTCACAATTGGAGATTTGAAAGGCGATCTGAGGGTGTTTGGCCTCAAACATACAATCATCAGAGCCACAGTTGACCACTCATGACGGAGGAAACAGAAAAGGCAGCTGCTCTATTAGTGGCCTGTTAATGGAACTGAGCAGATGAACAGATGAGGACTGAGGCGGGAGTGATGTACACTGTAATCAATAGAACCAAAACAAATGGTCACTAATTTTACAGTGGAGAAAAGTAGTCACAAGGTCTGGCCCTAGACCAATCAGGGAGCTTGCACTGTTTGGTGGATTTACCCTTTTCTTGCTTGTTTGCTTGTTGTGTTGGAATACCGTATTATTTGGACTATAGGTTGCACCATAGTATAAGTTGCATCTGTCAAAAAAAATGCATTGTGAAGAATGGTTTTAAAACAGGTCTCTGAAGAGTTTCTTCTTGTGAAGAAACAAACAACATAGAATTTCTGTCAAAAAAAATGCATTGTGAAGAAAAAACAAACAACATAGAATTCACAACGCTTGAAGTCTATAAGAACATATGCTAAATATACCAACGGAACCAGCTAACAAGTTCAGCGATCGCTTTAAAGTTTCCCATCTTTTAACGCATCCCTGAAATGGTTCATCCTTGAAGCGGCTTCTAAATAGTTCCACCAGCTCAGAAGGCAGATGAATATTTTGCTGGATTATTGTCAGCCTCACCATTAGCGCCAGGTCTAGTTAGCCTGTTAGTTTATTTCCTGTTGCTCGATTAACTTTATTGACAGCATAATGCATACATTATTTGCCTTTTCTGCAGCATGACTTTTCACTTTCGGCGGGTGTGGTCTTCAAGGAATTCCTAATAGTTTAGTCATGTGGTCACTAGTGAAAACGGTGCTCTCTTGTGGCCGTTTATGACATAGGGTACACAGAAATGAGGCACTTCAGCTTTCTTTCCTAAAATTTTCTTTTTTCAATACACTTGTTGACTTGGAATTTCTTCTTCAACTTTACTTTTTGATTATGACTGAGTGCATATTAAACACAAGCATTTGTCATACTTTGTCATGTTTCTCATGCTAATCTGCTTTTCGGATACACCCCCTATTTATCAAGGCATGAAGGGCACATGTGAGTTGAGTTGCATCCCCAGGGACAAAGATTTCTGGACTGAAGCCTGAAAAATTCTGGGTGAAGTCCAACTATGCACTTAATAAATGTGAGGGGCCTAAAGAAGAAGTTTGTCCTTAGATATTTGTGCTTTTTAAGCTCAAATTGAACCTCCCTGGACGAGAGAAGCAAGCGTGTGCAATTTGGTTTACTACTAAAACAAAACACAAACGAGACACTGCGAAGACCAAGTTAAGTACGCCCGTAGCTTGTGAGGCACTCGCACAAACCAAAACACCCATTCACAGTACTGATCAATTTCCTCTCTGCTCGTTCTGTTCAGCATCAGGATGTCTGTGAATGTCACTGACAGCCAGCAGACACTATGTGATCGATAAATAACGAGCGTAGCCGTCCCAGTCCCATTGATTCGTTGTTTTCTGGCACGTTGGAAGCAGTTCAAAACCCAATCCGGCAAAAACATCATCAACACGTGATGCCACATGTAATGGAACTTCAGAGATTCTGGTTTTTCTCCGCACTGAGGACGTGGTCCACCACAGACCACTTGAACGTGAACTCCATTTCGAGGGTATAGAAACATTTAAACATTGTTGCGAGGTGTTGAGGTGTGAGATCCTTACCTTCTCCTTGGTGCCAGTCTGCGAAGCGTCAGGCCTCGTACGGATAGTGAACGGTGACGCTAGCCTCAGTAGGATGCCCTGGAAGGATGGATCCATCTTGGGGGACACAATCTCAAAACAGTCCCTAAAGTAGAGGCTCCGGTGAGTCTCGATGCGAGCCTGTCTCCTCAGGCCTTCGCCGAGCTGCAGCAGTTCCATACGGGGTCCCAGGACTAGGTGGAACGGGAAGGCGCGGCAAAACGTGGCCAAGCCGATGCGCAGATCGCTGGGGTTGGTGGACAATGAAATAGGGGGTCGTTTCACTGAAGCAACGTTCTGGAGGGAGGAGAGGGAAGGAGGGCAGCTCTCCTGGATTTGGAAAGAGATGCAAACTATTGGAACAGCAGTTGGGAATGGGGAAGGAGGGGAAGGTGATGAGGAGGGCGAAGCAGTGGGGGACGCAGTTGGAGTTGGGGTTGCGGAGTCACCATCTGTGTGGTCTGTGTTTTCACTGGGTAGTAAAGGAGTCAGAGGTGGCACCTCCTCCACCTCCACCTCTGAATGATAGATCCGCTTGGCAACGGCTCTGATCAACCCCGGCATGACCAAACCGACAACAGGGGCCGGGTTGAAGCAGTGCAGAAGTAACACCTTGCCTCCTGCATCTCCCCCTGCTCGGACCAATTTTCTCCTTCCTCTCTCCTCCTCTGACGGGTCCTTGCACTGAAAGGAAGGGCTCTCAGATGAGGCACGGCGTCCCGTGGAGGTGCGAATGTGTTCTAAAATGGCGTCAAAGCCGTTAAAAAAGTCCTGGAGGTTCCCGCCTACAGCCCTGAGCACTCGCTCGTTTTCCTCAAAGCACAGGCCAAAGAACTCCTCTCCAAAGTGTTCCCGCAGCTCACAGAACGGTACTCCTGCAAGATGGGGATGGAAAATATGTACATTAACAAAACAGAACGTCCTCTGGGAGAGTCAACAAATCGACATTGGTATGTGTGGAAAAATGTTGTATCTTCAAGGGAAGAACGTGATTTCACGTGAATCATTATAATTTAATCTAAGTATGAGCTTGAGCTTGAACTGGAGCATTAGCTGTATCAAATGTTTCATTATGGAACGGCCAGTTGATTCGTTCAATCAACTGGCTCGTTTTTTTTATTTCTAATGTCTTTGTCAAGTATATTACTGTAGCCTAGCATTCATGCAGCATTTTATAATTTAATTTTTTTATATATATATTAAACAAAGCTCTAAGGTAGCCTAGCATTCATGCAGCATTTTATAATTTAATTTTTTTATATATATTAAACAAAGCTTTAAGGTTTAGAGTACTTATCAAAGCTTACATGAAAAATAAATATAAATTCAATTCAACTAAAATACTAATTCCAAAGGTAGAAATATGAAAAAAGAAACATGTCTCAGGGACCAAACAGTCTCTGGCATAATATCCAAACGAACACACATACTTTATATTTCACACGCATCCAACTTGAAAAAGACTCCTGATCAGATTAGCATCCATACTAGCAGGATTAGATCAGTTCAATGCGGTCACGACAAAGTCTCTTCCCACGTTAGGGCTTAATAAAGGGATTGGAGGAAACACTGCTTCACCTTCTCTTGCCTGCTGCAACCACGGCTGGTGTCCCAAGTAGCATTAAATGATCAAAACACAAGCTGCACAAATACTGCAGTGCATGTCTTTGCACTGCAGAGGGCTGGGGAGGATAGTGATGACTCAAAGAAAGAGGACTTTGCCGAGACAAAGTAAGGGAAGCGACTGAAGAAATGTCTTTGCTAAAGCTGTAGCGGAGGAAAACAAGCTAATATCAGTTTCACGGCTAATGTTCACCCTGCTAATAGGAACGATCAATTTATTACACATTTGCTGCTCCGTTCAGTGCATTATAGAAGTGATTGGACGCCCAAAGTGTCTTCGCCAGCTGTCCCACAATAATCAACTTTCTGCACAGTTTGCTGCGCAGCGGCACGCACGGTTTTAAGTACAGTTTGGGACCACCTGATGCTGCACTCATTTTAATTTGAAATGCATTCAGTTTCACTTCCAGTTAAGATTGTAAATATATAGTGGCGCCGCAAAGTGGTTTCTTATCGGCTCTGCACCCTGTGTGATTCAATCTGTTCTATAGGGACAGCAGCAGCCGTCATCTAGAGTCATGCACTGTATCGTATGTGTATATATGTATTTTTATTAGGCTGCAGGGACACATTGTGGTTCAGTGCCACCATTTGGAGAGACGCACAGTTATCTGTGTTGACAGGAGAATGACAGCTTCGTACCGTCAACAGCCACCATTATTAAATTTTATAATGCAGACAGGAACAAATGTGTTGGGAATATTGTGCACTCACACATACAGTTTGCACAAACTCACCCAGTATGGTCGCCATGTACTGTAGGATTTGCAGCACATCTTCTTCTGACCCGGAGTTTTCTAGAAATGGACATTTGTCATCTTTTTTCTGGTGTTGTCTCTCCTCACTGCTGAGCTCCTGACACCTGACAAACACAATAGGAAACACCAAAAAAAAAATCATGCACGGAGAAGTAGGAACTTGATTTCGGATCGCTAAGTACAAAAGCCGCAACAAAATTAAATGGTTAGTTTTGTAATACCACAATGTATTTAACCAAATATTTAGACCTAAATATGTATATAT